TATGTGTAACCAATTACCAAAAAATTAGTGTCTTCAAACAACACATATTTTATTGTCTCACAGTTTCCTTGGGTCAGGAATATGGGCACAAATTGGCTGGGTCCTCTATTCAGAGTTTCAAAAAGCTGCAATTGGTATCGGCCTGGGTCTCGGTCTATCTGAAGGCTCTTAGGGACTGATACACTTCCAAAGACATTCAAATTACTGCAAGAATTAATTTCCTTTTGTTTAAAGGACTGAGGGCTCCTGCTTCTTAGCATCTTCTGGAGGGAAACCACCCTAAGGTTCTGGATGCCACCAGAGACTTAGCACCTGGATGTCTGCTTCTTCAATGCTGATAGGAGAATGTCTCTCATTCAGGTCAGCTAAATCTGTTTAAATAGCATAATCGGGGGAGGGACATCCCATTTACTTTGCCGTACCTATTTGTTACAAGCAAATTTTAGGTCAAGGCCATACTCAAAGGAGTGGGATTGTATAAAGGCATAAACCACTAGCAGGTGGGTCACATGAGGTATGTTGATCTCAATCTCTGTGTATACTATAATAAATACTCTCACGCCACACTACCCATTTGTTTATTTGAGTCTTACAAGACATTAGCTTAATATTTCTGGTCTATGCTGCATGATCTGAAACAGTTTTTGTAAGTTTGTGTTTGCTTGTTCAGAAAATAAAAACAGCAATCTGATATTTCTTATATCTTGTGCTATGTAAAGGTCCTTATGTCAGTTATTAAGCTACTGGTTCTCCCTTCCAAATCCACTTTTCTCTGCTCTCTGTGATGCTGAGACTATCAACTACCCTTCTCCTTTGTTAGTTGGTTTCATGTCAGGTTTTTACAGTAGGGGAGAGTACAGAGGACTTGCTTCTCCCTCTTTGGTTGTTATTGTCAACATCACCCCAGCAATGGCCCTTCACCTCAGTGGTGGTGGCAGTTCATTCCAGTTCAGCTTCTCCCAGCACTTCCAGATAGCCTCACTGCAAACCATCAGACTGCAGTTCTAGTTGGGCAGTTCTCCTTCCATGAAGTTCTGAGTCCCAGGTTCCTGGGGCCTTCCACTGATACTTAAGGGTATGGTAACTCCAATATCTTTGTTCTCCTTAGTGCTGGTGAACTTACTATGGTGTTTGCTCAGTGTTCTCAGTTTTTCAGTCTCCTAACAATTCCTTAATCCAATTCCTATATTATATTCTGTCTGCTAAAGTACCTTGTAGGGTTATTTTCTTGATTGGACCTCGACTATATAGTATATTGTCTTTTTAAATCCTTGGATGATTGGTTCCAGGCCTGTCTGTGGATACCAAAATTTGTAGCTGCTTAAGTCCTTATATGAAATCGCATAGTATTTGCATATAACCTAAGCACATCTTCCTATATACTTTAAATCAGCTCTGGGTTACTTATAACACCTAACACAAATTGTTGCCACACACTTGGCTTTTATACTGTATTATTTAAGACATAGTGATAAGAAAAAGAAGTCCATAGATGTTTAGTACAGATGCATTTTTTAATATATATACTGGAAATTGAACCCAGGGGTGTTTTACCACTGAGCCACATTCCCATCCCTTTTTATGTTTTGTTTTGAGACAGGATCTCACTAAAGTTACTTAGAGCCTCACTGAGTTGCTGAGACTGGCTTTGAACTCACAATCCTGACTTAGCCTCCCAAGTCATTGGGATTGTAGGCCTATGCCTAGCTAGACACAATTTTTAAAAAATAATTTTGACCTATGATTGGTTGAATCTACAAATAGAGAGCCCATGGATGTGGAGAACTGACTGCACTGTAATTTTTATCCAAGGTGTCAAGAAATTGTAGGGTCTCAGAAACCACTGTTGGAATTTTATGCTTCAAAGGAACTGATGTCTAGCAAACAGATGAAATCTATCTTCTGGTTTCCAGGTGTTGGAACATTGAGCCCATAGTTGACTTTGCCAGTCTATTCAAGGCTTCTTGGCTAAGTAGTAATAAGTATAAATAGACACACTGAGGGTGATTCATACATTGACTCTTCAAATTACAGTGAATCATGAGTAAAGAGACTACAGACCCCGAGAAACCCACACTAAGAAATTAGTAAAGCTATTTTTGGAAGTTGTAGAATGCACCCAGATATCCCCATTTCACAGATGAAGAAACAGAAAGATTAATTAATTAATTAATTCAAGGGCTTTTGCTCCTTAGAGTCAGGCAACATAGTTACAGATGTCTTCTCACTGTGCCTTGAACTGATTCCACTTCCTGTATTTTCTAACTTTTTTTTTAATGGCATCTGAATCCAAGTTCAAAATCTTTGATTCACCAAAAGATAACTCCACCCCTCCTTTTCCCTTAAATTAAGCCTGCTGATCTTCCTCCAAAACATTCCTTCCCTCTCTTCCCTTCACTTTTTTTCTACAGTCTCTGGGTTTGTTCAGTCCTTCACTGTCTCTTACCCAGGCTATGAAAATCACCTTCTGGTTGGTCTCTCTATTGCTAGCTCTGCCATGCCAGCCAAAACCATGGCCACACTTATGGCCTCTAGAACTGGCCACACTGTCCCTCTTCCTGTGGAAAAACATTTTCTGATCATAGCCTCATCCCCCCATGCCATCTCCTTTCCTTAAAATCCACCCCTCCTCGAAGACCCAGCTCAAATTCTACCCCCTCCATCCAGTCTTTCCTAATTCTTCTACATGGAATATCTCTTTTTTTGGTTTTCAGTATGACCACATCAGCATATAAAGATGATAAGAACTACCATCACAGTTCAGCTAATGTGTAATGGTGGCTTTTTCTGTGCTCCAACATGGTGCCGTGCTTTTTAGTTGCATCATTTCATTTAACCCTCACGAAGATCATGGAAATGGGTACTTTCTGTTTTCAAAATGAGGAAGCTGACTTAGTGAGCTTACAAAAATTGCTCAAGGTTACAGAGTTCATTTTCTGTCTTATTAAAGTATTCATATATGGTCTTTATAGAAAATATTTATTTTTTAGTTTTAGGTGGACACAATATCTTTATTTTACATTTTATGTGGTGCTAATGATCAAATTCAGTACTTCAAGCATGGTAGGTGAGCACTCTACCACTGAGCCACAATCCCAGCCCCTCATATATGGTCTTATCTCTTCTTCAAATGGATAACTCACTGAGAACAGGAAGCATTCCTTCTTCAGCTAAGATCCCCTGTTCTGAACTTATGGAGTATTTTGTATAATAAATGACCAGTTTGGGGAGCAGTTTAAAAATTCACAACTTTTGCCTCAAAATTGTTTTGCCATAATTTTTTTTATGTTTTAGTTGTAAGTGGACACAATACTCTTATTTTATTTTTATGTGGTGCTGAAGATTGAACCCAGTGCCCTCACACATGCTAGGCAAGCGCTCTACCTCTGAGCCACAACCCCAGCCCTTTGCCATAATCTTTGATGCTGAATTTTATTTTACTTTTTGGTCCTATATTAAGCATACACCTGTGTACTATGTTAATGTGAGTCAGAGTAGGATTACTGTTTTTCAGAAGTTTGGAATAAATTGATACCTGTTTTCCTTCTTTAATGGTTTTGGAGGTGATCTTTATTTGACAATGACTCCTGAAGCCTTTGCTTCAAGGATATAAATGGATGCTTAAATTCAGGATCACTTGCAGTTTGTACAGAAACTGGAATTGTCATCATGTGATGAATCTTCCGGAGTGTCTATTAGTGTTAGTTGTCTAAGTTTGAATTTTTGTTTATTGGCCCGTTTTGAAAGCAGGGCTTCACTGATGCACAACAAGGGAGGTACCTCTATTTGGGACAATCAAATGCAGCCAGGGCTCTGGTAGGATTTATTCAAAATCTACTCAAAAGACATTAAACAAAAAGTCAGGAGCACAGATCCAAGGTCACAAGGTAGAACTTTGGGGTCAAAAGGAATTCATTCACTTGGAAATAAGAAGTCTGATGTTTTAGGAGGGGAGGCTCTGTGGACTTGGCCATATGGATAACACTCAGAATGCATGTGCAGAAGGAGACATTTTTGGCAAGGATATTCACTGGCCTTTTGCTCAGACTCCAGAACTCTTAGACTTATGGGAATCACTCCAGATTTGGAATTGCTTTCAAAGAACCGAGGGCTCCTTACGCGGCAGCTTCCTGGTGGCTATTTTGTGTTCCTGTGAGGGCCCCAGGGAACAGCGATGGATGCAAGTGTCTGAAGTGTGGGGGAGGTGAGAGGAAGTTCAGGAAAGAGGCAGGGCAACCAGGCTGCTTGTTGAACAAGTGGAGGAGCGTGTGTGGGAGAGGTCGTTCATTGTTTCTCTTTCTTTTTTTCCTGGGCACCTTGTCTGGGACCCATTCCTATGATCTTTGAAGAGGGATAGTCATTCTAATGAGATGCACCCTCTTTATCCATGAAAACACAACAAATGGCCTGTCCTTGGTGAGGCGTGGGCTTGGAAGATTTTCTGTACTGAGCATGGAGTCCTATTGCCCCCCTCCACTATCCTGGCCTCAGGAAGAGTTGTTCTGCAGTCATAGAATAGGACAGGGTTAACAGGTCCTCCAGAATTGTAGTCTCCTTGCGAGGCGTACTGTGCTCCATGTCCTGATTGGCTCTCTCCCACTGATCTTATTGGACATAGAAAATTGGACCTGTAAAGGCAAACTCATTGCTCTGGGCCCACGAGCTATTCAGTCCCAGGCTGGGAAAGATCAGGCTGGACAAATGCAGTCTGGCTTTTGTTTTTGTAGCTAAAGTTTAATGGGAACACAGCCAAGCTCATTCATTAGGTGTCATCTTTGGCTGATTTCACAGTAGAACAGAATAGTTGAGTAGTTGCAACAGAGACTCTATGGCTGGCAAAGCCTGAAATATCTACTGTTTCTTTACAGAGAAAATTTGTCAATCCAGAGCTCAGTGCCATGGTGGAACCAATGAAAGACTTTAAGTAATGATGTAACCGTGTCTCTGATTTAGAAAGATTTCACTAAGTAGGATGAAGGAGACTGGCGGGAGAGGAAGAGGGGAGGCTACTGTGATAGACTTTAATCCATGCAACCAATCTCCTTTGAGGACCCCCTTTAAGGCAGACCCTGTGCCCAGCTAGGAATGCAGCGATGAGGACACAATCCATTTCCTGTGACCACAGCAAACCAAACAAGAAGAGGTAAGGGCCTAGACCAAGGCAGTAGAAATGAGGATGCCTGGGAGGGAATGGACCAGAGAGAGGTAGAGAGAGATGCCCCTGGGATTCCAGGGCTCCAGGTTTGGGACCAGGTCATGGATGATGTCCTTCCCTGCCAGGGGGAGCAGGTTTACTTCCACTTAGCTCCTCTTTAGCCTCTTTGAAGTCTCACTGCATTTGCCCTAAATGGTAAAGCCCTTAAGAACTTCGTGAGATGTAATTGTTTTAACTAAATTTAGGTTTGTCTGAGACTGACCCCTGAACAAGAACTGACTTATTAAAATGTGTGCCATCTTAATTCATTTTCCCTTAAAAAAAGAGACAAGCCCTGAGTGGATTTGATTGAAAAGGTCCTATACAGGCCAATGGAAAACCTATGCCACAAATGCTCCCCTGGGCTGGCAGGTAGAAGGAACTGGTCACCCTGGAAGCTGCTCAGCAAGTGTGTGGTAGCCGAAAACCTGGGGTGAATCAGTTAGGGTTCTGGTGAAAAGAGATGGCCCACTCAAGGGCTTCAATGGAGGACTGTTCAGCAAAGGGACTACAGAGAGAGGTGAGGGCAGGCAGGTGGACGCAGTGGAGGTCATGAGGGATCCAGAGATGAGCAACAATGGCGACTGTCCCCTTTTCTTGGCTTGAGGGAGAAGGAAAGGTATTGCCAAACCCAGAGTCTATCCAGGGAAGAGCTGGGCTGTAAGGAATTTCCGTCACTGGTGAAGCTATGAACTGTCATGGAGTGACTGGCAGAAATGAAGAAATGAGGGGAATAAATACCCTAATTTTCTCTCCTGTCCTCTGATCTGCTGCTATCTCTCATTGGCTGACCCCAAGCAGAAGACCCCTAGCAGGGGAACTGTGATAACACGGAAGGTACTGACCAACCTCCCAGCACCCAGTGCCAGGAATGCAAGAGTATGTTTCTAATTTCTTTTAATTTAGCAGAACCTGAGTCTAGTCTCACTTGCACTAGCATTATTGACATACTTGGACAGACACATCATTATTCAGCCAAATCAATATTTATTGTTTATATATTTCTGCAAGTTGGTCTGTAGCACTTAACGAGTACCAGCTACTTCACACCTTTTAGCTAGAGAGTTTTGCACGGACAATGGCAAATGGGAGCACTCTTGTCTATAATGAATTTTTGAGTACTCCAGTAGTGTAGATGGCTGGAAGTGGAATCCTGGACCAAGGAGAATCCACTGTTTACATTTTGATAGGAACTTACCAATCTTTCTAAAAAGGTCAATGTATCTCTACCAATATTCAAGCATTTCTATTTTGCCATACCTTCTCCAGGTCATTTGCAATGTTAAGCATCTTTTCATGTACTAAAAATTCTTTGGTAATTTTTCTTTGGTGAAGCACAGTGACTTAGAGCCTGGTGTTTGAAAATAAGACTGCTGGGTGGATTGAAACCCTGTATCTGCCACTTATTAGCTGTGTGAGTGTGGACAGTTATTTAACCCTTTGACATTCTCAGTCCTCATATGTAATGTGAAGATAGTGATGTTACTTACTTTGTGCTTTTGCAGATTATTAAGTTCTTAGTGCCATTGTGAGCTTGATGGAAGGATTAGCTATTGTAGTACTTGTCCACATCTCTTGCCCATTTTTCTCTCCTGATGTTGGAGAAATACAACCAGTTTGAAGGAAAACTAGGTCTTTCTCTGGCTCCTGTCTTTTTCCTGAAATAGTGCACTGGCTCCTGTGAGCTGAGCTGAGATGGTAGCACTTATTTTCCTATCTGGACCACAGACAAGAGTGCATTAGATGGGTAGAAGGTCATTTGTGTACCTTGGTTTTCCTACTATCTCTGGAGTCCTAAGCTGTTGGGATTTGACCAAAGTCCTTAGAGCCAGTTTGCTCTAAAGAGGAACAGCCAAACCTTGTGCATTCACTGCTCAGGAACAGCCCAGAGGCCTTTGAGAGTGACCAGCCTTTGCTTAGGCAGCCACCAGATGGAACCGCTTGGGAGCTCTGGGGCTGCAGGAGGTCAGGTGCTCTGTGCCTCTTGTCTCACTTGTAGCAGGCTGAGGGCTGTGGTTGTGGCTGCCTGAGCTATTGCTGCCATTGTGGAGATCACACGCCCACAGGGGGAATGCCTCAAGTTGATTAAAAAAAAAAAAATTTAAAGGAGGAAAAAAAAAAAGCTGCTTCCTTTATAGGCCAGCTCCACAGTTATGCAACACTGACTGTACATTTTCAGAATTTCCGTGCCAGTGAAGGTCTCCTTAAGATAGATTAAAAAGCATGTATCGTCAGGCGTAGTGGTGCATGCCTGTAATCTCAGTGCCTCACGAGGCTGAGGCAGGAGAATTGTGAGTTCAAAGCCAGCCTCGGCACCTTAGTGAGGTCCCCAGCAATTTAGCAAGACCTAGTCTCAAAATAAAATATAAAAAGGGCTTGGGATGTGACTCAGTGGTTAAGCGCCCCAGTTCCCCTCCCCGCCAAAATAAAGCATGTAGCATAGTCACAAGAAAGTTGAAGAGTGTGAGCATGTTTAGGTGTTGCTTTGGTGGTCAGTTTGTGTGTAGAGCTTCTGTGATGAGACTGAGACTTATTCTGGCAATGAAAGGAAGTCACCATCAAGCCGTCAAGCTGCAGACACCAGCCCAAGCCCCAGCAACACCCTGGCTCAGTGCCCTTGTGCACTAGGAGTTGTCTAACATGTCAGCACTGCTTCTCATAATAATACAGCAAGGAAGACATTAGTAGCTCAATTTTATCAATGATACAATTAAATTTAGATAATTTGCTGGGCCAAGATCCATCAACTGGAGAGGGGCAATTCACAATTTGGAGACAGATCTTTGTGAGGCTAAAGCTCATGTTCTTTCTACTGCCCAATGTGTAGAGGTGCAAAATTTAGAACTTGAAGGGACTTTGGGATTCATAATTTCTCTTGTTGCTCAAAATCATAAATCTAATTAGTGGCAACATTACAAAAAGCATCTCCTACCTCCTATTCAAGTACTCTTTTCATCAGACAAGTTTATTTTGTAAAAGTCTTGGCTAAATATTGGGCAAATGAATAAATAATTGAATAAATGAATAAAAAATGAATAAATAAACAATATGTAATAGTCGAGAGTCAGCTGAGGAAGGTGGAAGGTGTTACAGGTTATAGATTCAGACTTGAGGTTCTACCATTTCCTAGCTGTGTGGGCAAATTGCACAATTTATATAAGCCTGTTTGTCATCTATAAAATGGCAATGGTAATAATATCAATTTAAATGAAGGTATTGAAAATGAATGAATGAAGAATACACGATATGTAGCAGATAGAAGAACTTTTGAAATAGAACTGGGTGTAAAACTTTGCTTTTTTTTTTTTCTTAGAAGGGGATGCCAGAGGTTGAAGCCAGGGGCACTTAACAACTGAGTCACATGCACAGCCCTTTTAATATTTTACTTTGAGGCAGGGTCTTGCTAAATTGCTTAGGGCCTTGCTAAGTTGCTGAGGCTGGCTTTGAACTTGTCATCCTCCTGTTTCAGCCTCCTGAGCTGCTGAGATTACAGGCGTGCAGCACTGCACCTGGGAAAACTTTGCTTTTTAATTCAAGGTAACTTGGAAGTAGGATCTGGTAGGGCAGGGCTGCTTGTTGAATCCATAAGCTGGCAATGTTTTCTTAAGAGCACAGATGCTAGAATCAAGACTGTGTATCTTCAAGTGTCACTTCCACTACTGGTTAGCTGTGTGACCCCAAGCGAGTCACAGAGACTCTCTGTACTTCAGTTACTCATCTATGATTAAGGGTGATCATGTGTCTCATTAGGGTTGTGCTTGGATAAATGAGATAAGACAGGAAAAGCATGAGCATGGTGTATTAACATAGTAGATTCTCACCAAATGGTGGGCTAATAAACAGGGGTAGTCCTCACCATAACAGTCAGGAAAGCTTGGATCTGTGAGTAGAACTAGTGTCAGACAATCTAACAAATACACAAGCAGAATTACTCTGTGGATTCAGAGTACATTTTGCAAAATGGTAATTTGCTGTCTTATCTATACTTAACTCGATTTGGGGAAGAAGTTTCAATACCAGTTGATGCAATTTGACCAATCGTTTTATGAACTGTCTTTTAAAGAAATAAATGATGATTTGGTTGAAGGCACACAAGAGGGAGGTCCACCCTCTACACTCTAGTGACAGGAACTGCATCATTACACTTTTCTGGAGGGCAACAGAGCAATCTATAAAAAGTCTTTAAAGCATTCATGTTCTCTGACTGAACAATTTCATACCCAAAGTTTTACTCGAGAAGAGAGTCAGGGTTGGCAGCATTCTTGGATTTGTTTATTTAATAGATAAAGTCATTCACTTATTTCTTTACAAACAGTAAGTATGTACCACAAGCTCTTGCCAGGCACTGGGGAAGACATAGTGAAATATGGAGTTGCAGAGGCTGCCCTCGTGAAGCTCATAGTCTTCTAGGGAAGATTATCACTAGACAACAATTACATTTCATTTAATTTATTGTAGATATGGTAAACGCAATGAAGAAGCTGTGTAGGGTCTATGAGCACAAACCTCTGGGCCAGGAAGTCTCTGAAGACTTCCTGGAGGAAGCTGCATTTGACTGAGACCTGAGAGACAGCATGCATTAGCTGGTGACAGGACAGTGAAAGGGGAGCCTCAAGTAGAGGAAGCACCATTCTCCAAGGCCATGATCACTCCAGCAGCAACATGGCAACGGATTTGAAGAAGGTCCTGGGAAGATGTGAGAGGCCTGGCTGGAGGACTCCAACCATGTAGGTGTCCATCTCAGAACTATTTACTAGGGTGAAAAACTGAAAAACACAACAACACCAAAATCCTCAGAGCCTAACTATAAAGGATTGGTTAAATAAGATATTCTCCATTCATTCAAAGGAATACTGAGTTCTATACAGGCTCTTATATCATAGAAAACTATTTTATGATAAATACATAAATATGTAACATATTGTTTCATAAGCAAAAGTTATAAAACT